CATAAGTGTAGGATTATTTCATAACCCACTAATAGTTGGATACATTACAAATATATTGTAATGGATTGATATTACCTGCGTTTATTTATAAAATAGTTTCAGAAAATAATTGGGTGCACCAAAAGAGCCTCCTCGTGTGGTGATACCTATATTATATTACAGACTGGTACTTGATACGACGAGTCGACGTATACTTACTTTTCAACATGAAAATAAACTACATACCTACTGAGATGTGTACTTAGTTTATTTTCATGTTGAAAGGTACTTCATCATTATTTTATTTGGACACTATCGTCCAATGCGCATCTTGTAAACTAACAAGTACCAACAAATATATTTTTTTATAAATCTTTATCCCAAGCTTCTTGGACGATGATGTCCAAATAAAATAATGATTAAGTACCTTTCAACATAAAAATAAACTAGACAGCTTAAGCACACTCAAGTGTTTTTTTTACCAGTATTTTTTATAATGTTACTAGCACACTAGGATTTTCTTCTATATCATGGAGGCAGTTAACAAACATAAATTGCACAAGGGCTAACATCCAGACCTGAAACAATTATTTGTAAGCCATACATATACTTGTTCCGTGCGCCACGGAGCCGTCTCTTCAAAATAAAGTATATCTGTTACATACGAGTTCTTTCATACCTAACATGACCATACTTCCCACTAGGCGGGACGGTCCCGATTTAAAGGTTTGTGCCCCGCTGTCCCCAAAATACTTAAAAAAGTCCCGCTTTTACAAACAAAAGCGTAGCAACAAGCAAACTCTGTCATCCGTGCCATCATTATAATAACGCGCACACCAGGTTTGCCGGCATGGCATGACTAGTTACGTGATTATTCTGAAAACCTACTCTTTTGAACTTAAAGTTACATAGTGACGATTTTTAATTTCTACAATAAATTATCAAATAACATAAGTTATTCCTAATTAGTATTTATTTGCTGTTCAGAAAAAATTAAAAGCCAGCAGCCAGATTTTATATGATTCTAAGTTCTCGTTAAAATTAAAATGACGTGGAGCATAATTAACAGTGAAACGGGCAAGGTTAAACCACGCAACTCTAATCTTCAACTGAATATAAACAATAATTTGACTCAATCTGATCAAGAAGTTGCTATAGTTTTTGAGAAATATTATACTGAAGTTCCTTTTTTTTTGACAACAAAATCATTAAATTCTTCGCCTACTGTCGCCGAATCATTGCGTAAACAAAATATAAAGGCTTGTCCAAAATATTTTCAAACTCCATAAAGTATTGCCAAAAAATATCATTAAATATTTTAAAACTATTGATGTGAAGAAAATGGCTACTTATGGGGGATTTCCATTAAAGTTATTGCATCTATAATAAATACAATAGCACCTTATCTAGCCACTATTTTAATACAAGCGTCTAAACTGGTGTGTTTCCTGATTTAATGAAACATAGTAAAGTTATACCTTTATTAAAATCTGGTAGTACATCAGACCCCGCCAATTTTAGACCAATTTTTGTACTACCAACTTGAAGAAAAATTTTTGAAAAAATTATTGTGAGATGATAAGTTTTTTTAATAAAAAATAGTATTATTTGCTGATGATACTATCTCGATTTTAAAACTTAAACGTCAATCATTTAAATGTGACGAAGTGAATAATGCTATATCGAAATTAGTGCATTGGTTTAACGTTAAAAATCTACATTTATACAGCAACAAAACTAAATGTATTAATTTACAACAACAAATGTTAATAATCCGAGTACGTTCCGATCCGAGTACGAGTGTGTTTTGAAATGGGGAAGAACTGAGTCCTGTTGAATCCTCTGTTTTTCTTGGCATCACTCTCGACGCTAAGCTTCAGTGGGGCCCCTATATATCTAAACTAGCAAGCAGGCGAAGCTCTGCAGCTTATGCTGTAAAAAAGATTAGCTAGATTAGTTTACTTCAGTTATTTCCATAGCATAATTTCATATATAATTTTGCTATGGGGAATGCGGCTGATTTAGAAACTAGTTTTGTTTTGCAGAAAAGGGCCATTAGAGCTATTTACAATCTTAACTGAGAGATTCTCTTGGAGAAAAATTTAAAGAAATAAATATATTAACTTTGGCCTTTCAGTATATCTATCTGTTATTTCACTGCAGGACGTATGAGGAAGCTCAAAGTCACTCAGCTAGCTATTGAAAGGGCTATGCTTGGAGGTTCTCTGCATGATAAACTTAGGAATGAGAATGTCCGCAGTAGAACCAGAATGACTGACATAGCCTAACGGATTAGTAAGTTAAAGTGGCAATGGGCCGGCCACATGGCTCGAAGAAACGGTAATCGACGGGGAAAAAAGGTTCTTGAGTAGCCTCATACTGGCAGGCGAAGTGTAGGACGTCTTTCACTTGATGGAGTGGCGACCTGGTAAGACATGTAGACAGGCTCAAAACCGTGCTTTGTGGCATTCCTTGGAGAAGGTTTATGTTCAGGAGTGGACTTGTGAAGGACTGTCCTTAATGATGAAATAAACCATTTAAATGCAGTGTTATGAATACTTCGATAATTAATTGTAAGTTACAGCGCGCGAAGCGAGTACAACGCGACAAGTGCTCGCAGCGGACGTGTCTGTCATTTTGTGACTAAATTATTGAATATTTTAACAGATTAGTCAAAATCAATTACATCCAATCTGTAGTGTGCTAGTGTATACTGTTAAATGCATTACTAGGTGCGTCAAATGACATAATCATCCTGAAGAAGAAATTCAATCGTGATCGAGTGTCCTCTTCACCCTCTCGATTAAAAGCTACGGGCTGCAATTCAAATAAAATAATTCATCTCGTTCACTCCACGCTACCAACCTATATTTTCACAGTCTGCACAGGTACGCACACAGCCACATATTTATATATAACATACTTCTAACCTTTCTAACATGTCCGTACAGCGTTCACCAGCTGAGCGACATATTAAGGATACTGATAGCAATAAAATTGAGCCAAATACATCTCACAGTGAATCCTAACCAGATCTGCGACAATTAACACTATCTCACACGGAGACAAGACAGGCCACCTTAAGAAAAAGAAAACAACCCGACGATGATCTGTCCCAAAAGTTTGATAAGTTTGAAAATAAAATAATATTGATAATGTCTACAATGTCCTAAGTTCTATCAGATAAATTAAATAAAATCTCTCAGGAGGTATCGCTAGCAATAGATCAAATTACTCAACTTAGATCTAGTACTACTCAATTAGTTAAGGAACAGAATAGACTTAATCAAGAACGAATAATAGACTTAATAATATATATAATAGACTTAAACAATACCTAAAAATAGACTTAAATAATAGACATAAACAAGAAAGTGAATATTGAGAAGTTTAAAACAATCGTAGAGCAGAAAATCGAAAAAATCAAAAGTGACCTTGGAAACCAGACCTGAAACAATTATTTGTAAGCCATACATACACTTGTTCCGTGCGCCACGGAGCCGTCACTTCGTCAATGTATATCTGTTATACACGAGTTTCCTCATAGCTAACGTGACCAAACGTCCCACTTTAGGCGGGACGGTCCCGATTTAAAGGTTTGTGCCCCGCTGTCCCCAAAATACGTAAAAATGTCCCGCTTAGACAAACAAAAGCGTAGCATCATGCAAACTCTGTCACCCGTGCCATTATTATGACACCGCGCGTGCCAGGTTTGCCGGTATGGCTTGACAAGTTACGTGATTATTCCGAAAACCTACACTTTTAAACTTAAAGTTACGAAGTGACAATTTTTAATTTCTACAAAAATTGTCAAATAACATAAGTTATTCCTAATTAGTATTTATTTGCTGTTCATAAAAAATTAAAAAGCCAGCAGCCAGATTTTATATGATTCTAAGTTCTCATTCTCACTTTCGATCATTAAAAGATTCAAACAACTGTGTGTTTTATTTTTAAAACTATTATAAAGGGCTCCAGATTGAATTTTGGTAACGGCGGCCATTCTCAATGGAGAATGGCCATCTGCGCAGGACGGGATTATATTACTCCAGTGTATGCGTAAGCATAGACCTGTGCTTCTCTATTCCCTCACTCTTATTAGTCCGATGGAACGGTAATCCGAGACGACGGGAGAGAGATAAGGCGCAGGACCAACGACTTTACGTGCTTCCGGAGGCACGGTGGTGAAACCCCGCCAACTGCAATAAGTTCGAAATCAATATTCCGGGCTGCTACTGAGAATTTTTTGACATAAAAGCGCAATAAATGATTCTTGACCAGACTCGGATTTCGAATCTGGGACCACATGATCAGCAATAGCGTTTACGACCTTTAGACTAAGAAGGCAGTCAAAAGTGTTAAAACCATAATAATTTTAACACATTAAACGCCGACTCAAATTTAGTGGTTGTTCCGTTTGGGCCGTGGGGCTCACCGGTGAGCGACAGCAATACTACCCGTTCAGGCCGTTGGGCTCACCGGTGACCGCGCGACGGACTCGTGTTTGAACTCAATTTTCTCGCTGGGGGACACAGTGCCGGTACAAAACTATATTGCGTGTGCCCGGCGCGGCCCTGGAGAACAGTTTACGCGTACTAGCTCGTTTCGACACTAAGTATAAAAAAAGACTTTGTGGATTTTTTGCCTAAGTATACAAGATGTGGTTTTAAAATAAAAGAAGGTTTACGAAATATATGTTTTATTACAAAATATTTAAAAACGTTTTATTATATATTAGGCAATCATTTATTTTTAAACTTAGTAAAAAATAAACTAAACAAACTTTGAAAAAAACTTAAAATAACTCAAAAAATTACTACGAAATTAAACTTTGTCATGAATATTTGGCGAATAAATGAAATCAGTCTTAACAACAAAGTAAATAAATACATTTTCACTCTTTTCGTCGCGCGGTCGGGTAAAAAGTTTGTCAATGATGAAGCACATTGAAGCAAGATATGCAAAGAAAAGGCTTCTCCGGGCATTGTGGACAAAACATTCTCACTTTTTTAGTCTTGTTTTTAGCCCAACTTTCTACCGTAAGTAGCTGCATTAATTTTGTAACAATTCACACATGCTCGCCTGCTTGTCCTGGCTTGCCCTTCTTTTTGTTGCAGTTTGTGTATCATTCTTCTAGGTCTTGCAATTGGAACATCTTGTTGGCTGCAAAACGACTTCAGTAATTCCAGCCGGAAGTCTGCCATTTGTATTTTCTTTCCGATGACGCTTTGATACAAAACCAGTGCATTGACCACTGCTGTGTTCAGGAGAAGGTTGATTGCATACTTCTTGTACCATTTTATAGATTTCCTCAATGGAGTTGTGTAAGCAGCCATCTGATCGGACATATCTACAGCTCCTTTAGCACCGTTATAGTCAATGACTATTTTCGGTTTAGAAATAACTTTGTTACGTTTTCGGACATTTTGGTATCGCACTGAGTGTTTTGTGGACAGCAAAAGGACGTCTCTTTTATCCTTCCACTTCATTACAGTTATGTGCTCATCGCTTTACTTCGCCACGAATTGTCCTCGCTTCAGTTTAGCATTTACTATATCCTTTGGCAGATGCTTCCGGTTCTTCCGAATCGTGCCTACGAGATGAGTCTCTGCATCCAGAAGTTTTTTGGCAAGATCTATACTGGTGTACTAGTTGTCGGTCACTAGCGTATGTCCCTTGTATAGAAGATCACTGCATAGAGACATAACGACGTTCAACGGTGTAGTATTGACTTCATCGTTATTCTTTCCCGCGTATACGTTTATTTTATATGTATATCCGGGAATGGTACATAACTTAAACTCCTTTTTACCATATTTATGCCTTTTTTGTTTATTGTATTGTCGAAAAATTATTCATCCGCGAAAAGGCATCACGCTTTCATCTATACAGATCTCTTCGGAAGGGGTGTAGTTTTTTTTTGGAGGCTCCGGTTCATCGGAGTCCTCTGACTCCGACGGAACCGGGGAGTCCACATTCACTGCCGTCAACTCCAAGCGCAACGGAAAGCGCGACGCGATAAAACGCACCCCGCCTATCTCAACGGCCCCTGCCGCTCCTCCAACTTCCGCAGCCCCCGCCGCTGCCGCCATCCCGCTCATGTCCCTTGACATCCCAACTCCATCTAAACCTTCCTCTCGATGTGCTCCAGTCCTTGCTAAGAAGCAAGTCCCGCCCCCCTGTCTTCCTAAGAGACAAGGCCAAATTCACCAAACTGTCGAAAACCTGCTACGACGCAGGAATTAAGTACGACAATGCTGTCAACCTCGGGGAGGCTATCAAAATCATCCCCAGCTCGATCGAGGATTTCCGAAAACTCACCAGGCTTTCCACAGCCGAACGAGTCTCCTAACACACCTACGCTCTCCCGGAAGAGCGTAAAGTCAGGGCCGTCATCCGAGGCCTCCCCTTCGGGTTCTCGAACGAGGAAATACTTGAGAACCTTAAGTCCCAAGGCTTTCCCGTCGAAGCCGTGCACAAAATGCACAACAGAACGGGCAAGAGATACAACCTTGCCCTAGTAATCCTATCAAACGTGCCGGAGGCTAAAGCCATCTTCCGGCAGGTACGCACAGTGTGTGGCCTGTCAAGGGTGAAGGTAGAGCCCCCACATAGGCCCGGTTTCCCGGCGCAGTGCCACCGCTGCCAACTTTATGGTCACGCGGCGGCCAACTGCTCCGCCCCACCCAGGTACGTTAAGTGCCTAGAACCACACAACACGAAAGAGTGTCCCCGGCCCAAAGACGCCGAATCCCCCGCCCGCTTGTGTCCTGTGCAACCAGACAGGACACCTGGCTAATTACAAGGGTTGCCCACGCGCACCTCAACCTCGCCCCAGTAGACAAGCTCCACCGCCGATGAATGACCGCTCATTCCCGGCCCTCCAACAACGGCCCCGTCAGGGCCTTTCTCAGCCCACCCAGGGCTTCTCTCGACCCTCTCAGGGTTACCCTAGGCCCCCTCAGGGCATAATTCGGCTCCCTCCGGGCTTCTCCAAGCCAATGCAGCCTCCAGTCTTTCCCTGGGGGCCCAAAAAGGCAGACCCACCGCGGACAACCTCGTACGCTCATGAAGCAGAGCCTACAATCGACGACTACAACACGCTATATTCCGCTATTAGGAATATCGATGTTAGGGAAATAACAGTAGTATCACGCAAACTGCGCGCGGCCAAGTCCCCCCAAGAACGTCTCCTCGTTCTTGCGGAGGCACAATAACCTTCTGTTAGCGTTGTAAGTTAGGTTAACTTAATTAACTTAACTTCAATGACTGAGCGAATTAACCTACCAAGATCTCACGGTCGTATCAAACCTAAGGGTTTATCGCTTGTATCATTTAATATTCGCGGCTTGCGAAATAACCTCCCAGAGCTCAAGCTCTTTCTTCGGAATCGTGAAGTCGATTTCCTCCTCCTACAGGAAACTAATCTCAAAGCTAAGGACACTAGAGGCCTTTCTATTAAAACCTTCTCTCTTCTTCGTAACGACAGACCCGACCGCCGAGGCGGCGGAACGGCCATCTATTACAAGAAGACACTTCATTGCTCGCCCATTTCTACTCCGCAGCTTACCAACATGGAAGCCACGGTATGCAGGCTAGCTATGACTGGACATCAGTCCATCCTCATAGCCTCCTGTTACATCCCTTCAGGAACCCATCCCCTCAAAAAGGATTTTGAGGCCATTTTATCTTTAGGCAATTCAGTCATTATGTTTGGAGATTTTAACTCCAAGCATACTGAATGGACATGCCGCACTACGTCCCCTAGTGGCAAGATACTGCTCGATATCACGCAGTCTCTTGATATTACCGTCCATAGTCCTCTCGGTGTTACTCACTTTCCCGATAACACCGATCACGCCCCCGATGTGTTAGATTTTGCGTTACTCCAAGGAGTTTCTCTCAACCTCAGAGCAATCGAGACACTAGACGATCTAGAATCAGATCACCGACCGGTCTCCCTCATTCTTGGCCATCAGCCACCTCCCCCAACACACACGAAAACCTTCACTAACTGGAAGGGATTCAAGGAGTCCCTAGCTAAAGCTTTGGACTCACAGGACTCTACCGTCGGACTTAGATAGTCCCGAAAAATCGACACCGCGGTCGATTCACTCTCCACCCTTATTAAATCCTCCCTTAAGGAGAACGAAAGGTCGTCCCGGTTGCTAACAAAGTGGGCTTCCCCTACATATTAGCAACCTATTAAAAGCCAAAAAAAGCTGCTCTCTGGAGAGCAGCAAAATATCCCACACAATCGTCTTCAACGAGAACTCCGCTTCCGCCTCTCCGAATTTCGAGACCTCGAAAAGAGTAAGCTCATGGAGAATATCTCTCCTTCTCACACAGCGTACTATCAGATGGATAGAGCCCTCCGCATAGACGCTATCACCCACACTCCCCCTCTCTCCCGTCCCGACGGCACGGTTGCTTTCGAGGACGAGGAAAAGGCTGAGTGCTTTGCAGATAGCATTGCCGCTCAATGCTCTCCTAGTTCTCAACCCGTCGACCCCTCTCACGTCCAGGCAGTGGAGGATGAGGTCCGCCGCCGGAACTCACCCCCTACGGCCCCCGAACCTATCTCTGTGTCCAATGATGAGATTTCATCCCTCATCAAAGGACTTAAGCCCAAAAAGGCTCCGGGCGCGGATGGCATCTCCAACCAAGCCCTAAAACACTTTCCTGAGCAGGTGTTAACCTTTTTTATCTATTATCTTCAACGCCTGCTTCAACCGCAGTTATTTCCCCACTACGTGGAAAGAGGCTACTGTGATTAGAATTCCCAAGCCAGGCAAGCCTCTCAACCTCCCCCTCCAGCCATCGCCCCATTAGCCTCCTCAAGGCAATGGGCAAGCTCTTCGAAAGAGTCATCCAAACGCGTATGAGGCGCTATCTGTTTCCCACAGACGGCGACCCTCTTATCATTCCCCATCAATTCGGCTTCCGAGCCAAACACTCATGTCCCCAAGAAGTTCACCGCATTGTGGAATATATTCTCAGCGGTTTCTATCCTCGTCGTCATAAGACCATCGCGGTCTTTTTCGATATAGCTAAAGCTTTCGATAGAGTCTGGCACACAGGCCTCATCTACAAGCTCTATAAAATAGGTCTCCCCGATCGTCTAGTTCGTCTCGTGGCCTCCTATTTAAAACATCGTACCTTTCGTTTTAGACACGAAGGCACGCTTTCTTCACAGCGAACTATCAAGGCTGGTGTCCCACAGGGCTCAGTACTTGCTCCTCTGCTGTACATCCTGTTCACCAACGACATTCCCATCCCGTCGAAAGGTGTTCAACTCTCCCTCTTCGCAGACGACACTGCCATCTACTGCAAAGGTGTCTCACTACCCTTCATACGGAACAAGATCCAAAAGTCAGTTGATGACCTAGGAGCTTGGTTCAAAAAATGGCGCATCGATGTGAACCCGGAGAAGAGCTCCGCCGTTTACTTCGATTATAAACGACGCCGTCTCAAAAACACTCCACCAATACGTATGCTAGGGACCCCTGTCCCCTGGCATACGTCCGCCAAATATTTAGGTGTCACTCTAGACACAGGGCTCACTTTCAAGCCCCACGTCAAAAGAGTAACCCGTCACGCACGTTTTTATCTGAGTAGACTCAACAGTATGTTGGGCCGACACAGTAAAATGTCCCTTCGAAACAAGCGTACCCTTTACAAGGTCTGTATACGACCAGTCATATCCTACGCGGGCCCCGTCTTTGTCCACGCAAACCCTAATATTTTAAATGAACTCCAAATAGTTCAGAACCTCTTCTGTCGTCGAGCTGCGAACGCACCTTGGTACGTCCGTAATGCCGACCTTCATCGGGACTTAGAGCTCCCAACAATTCAACAATTTTTTAAAAAGCTCTCTGAGAACTTCTTCAAAGCCTCAGAGTCGCACCCAAACCATTTAATTCGTGAGGCAGCTTCTTATGCAGCCCCACCCCCCTCTCGCTATCGTGTCCGCAGGCCGAGAAACTCTCTCTCGGACCCGCCTAATAAACTTTCAAACGACCTGAACTGTCTCCTGGCGGGTCAGGCCAACTCTAATTAAATAAAATTACTGTAATAACTAACATTAATTTGCCTTCGTAGGCACTCCCTCAGCGGCACTTAGCCGCCTGCGCCCTCTTTTCCCAAAAGAGGGTCGCTCATGATAAGGCACAATAGAGCTTAATCAGCCGGTTGCCTGTCCCCAAAGGCGGTTTTTAGAGGGTATCACTTAGGGTCCCCGGTAGGACAGTGAGCCCCTCATAACCACGATAGACCGGCTATCGTGGTATGCGTAATGCATTTTCCGCCTCCCTACGTATAGGGTAGCTCTTTAATTGCTTCGGGCGCAAAAAAAAGTGCGCGCGCGTAGTCGGTGTGCGGCGGCGGCGTGGAATACAGCTCCGGAACGGCGAGAAGAAGCGAACTGCGGCGTTGGAAAAACGGCTCACCATTGGTCGACGGATACGTGACGATAGCGGCGTGTGAAGTC